CTTTCCCTCATCCTTTAAAACTCGTATCTTTGCATGATCGGCAGTGTTTTTAAAACAAACAGGTGCTTTGTGTCACTCTCTCACCCTCTCCTCCCTTTAACTTTTCATTTAGTCGCTTTATGTATTAACCCTCTAAGGGACAGAACCATTTGTGCTCAGATGATAATTAAGTAAATATCAGGAATATTTCAGCAGTTAGGAAAGTTTCTCAAAATAGTTCTGAATAGAGAAGAGGGAAGTAAAACAATGTGCTTCCTTTTAAAGGTGGAACTTCTCACTGGGCTCTGACTTGTTTTTATGGTTTATACAAATGGATGCTCGGTATGTTCGAAGGATGAACCACTAACATATAAAATTCATTTTGACATTATTAATGCAAGAGGTTTGATACTTAATCAAAATGCAGTATTGATTTTTAAATGGTTATTGATTCTACTAGGAATTTAATGTTTTCATCTTATATACATTGTTAGCAGTTGTTGGTAAAATACAACAGTCAGTCAATGAATCAGTCAGCATGTGTAATACAATTCAGTTGTTCTGGTAAGGATACAGCAATACCTTGTGGAGATAACTTGGACTTTACCAGTTGCTCTTTGTTATATTTTGCTCTTGACACCTTGTTTTAACCTAAATATGTGTTAATTTAAGGGCAAAAGACATCGTTAAAAAGCTGTTGCCACGTTACTTTATATGACAGACTGTACATTATGCGGATATTCAGTATTCTTTCACAGCCAGCATTAACTTCTTCAAACCTGTTTGTCTCAGATTGTTTAGGCTATTGTTAATAAATGCATTAGAAAGTGTTTTGAAAGTGTTGCGGAGTTTTAACAGTAACTGCATGAAGGGTCAGGTGACACGTCGGCGAGTCCTTGGAGTCCTTGACTCGCTCAGGTATTGTGGAGTCGAACCCGGGGAAGTTCAAACTGGGTGACAATGAGCTTCAGGAGAGGAGAGGCTTTGTGGAGCGAACCAGAAAATCTGTCCAGGTAAAGTTCATCAGCACAAACTTTTTTTTTTTTGTCATTTTTTTAATTTCTTTTTTCTACCATGGCATGTGCACCATTTTCTTATTACCATTCCACATTGCAGACCTCAGCACCTGTTTAGTGATGACACAAAATGGTGGTGGCAGTTAGTGTCTGAAATAAATATGTTATATAATATAGGGAACAGGAAATGAATGACCAGGGCACAGTTCATGTAAAAAACACATTGCTATTGTGAGTTTTTACAGTGTAAACAACTGGTTTCTGATATTGAAGTTTTACTGCCACACACTTTGTGTATTTTATTTTGAAGGGTGTTACCTGTTTTTAAAGATGGCCGTATTGATTGAGGGATACCTACACAAACATTAGCAGAAGGCCTCGGCTGTATTTTGGCAACTGAAGTGTTTTTTTAAGACACACAGTAAACTTACAGGTCAGGCAAAGTCACTAAAGCACACAGTAGTGTTTGTGTTTCACTTAAGTTTTGATTGTAAGGAGACAAAGAATTGACTATCAGTTAATACCTGTCACCTTGTTTACCTGCACTGCAGCTTGGCTGAGTTGGATCAATGTTCATGCTGTGTGCACAAAGGAAAGTGTGAGTCAGTTTCTAACACAAGCCTTGCAGACAAAGGTACCATCCTTAAAATAGACCTGAAAAGAATTGAGTCATCTGAGCCAAACAAAAGTGCTCTGCTGAGAAGGAACAAAGACTTTCTGACATTTTGATGTGCCAGCTAGTGATTCTGGCACCGCAGCAGAAAATCCCATTAATGAAGCTGTCTGCACTGAGCTAGGCTTTAAACAGGTTTTCATTTTTGTGTGTGCAGGAGATGAAGGACCAATTATCCAGTCCTTCTGCTGTGGCTCAGGCAGAGAAGAAGAACAGACAGGTTGGTGGAAGTTCAGACACACCACAGGAGTTCACACACATTACATACACTGGGTAGACTATAATAAATTACTGTCATGGGCTGAATTATGCAACTCCAATAAATGTGTTGTTTTCAGTTTTGGTCCTTGCGTTCTGTGCACCACCACTTGTGCATCTTAAACCACTGTTGGTCAGTTTTTCTAGCTACTAGTGTAAATTTCTTGATGCAGTACCAGATTGAAAGGTACCAGAGGGTTTTGGCATC